TTTGTTTTTTGCTTTGGATTTTTGTTATTGTTGTTGGTTTGGGTTTTTGTCATAATATGTTGTCAAAGTAAACCACAGTCATTCATATCCCATGGATTTTGGGCTCCCTCTTTAATCCTACCCCCAATCCAAGAACTGTTAGTGCTTTTAGCATGGTATTGCTTGTACTCACCTTCATGAACAGATCACTGAAGATAAAGGGGCTACAGCAAACTGTGGTGAAGAAAGCAGATGGGGCCTGGCTATCAATTGGAATAGTGTCTGAGGTCTTAAAGGCTTGTATACAAACAAGCAGACATGTAAGTGAGGCATCAACTAATTTCACATGGAAGAAGCACACAGGTCTGGGTGATCCAAAGATGATGAATAACAAATTCAAATATAATGATGGGAAAAGTATCAGAGCTTAAATTGTGAACACCCAATTGGTAGAAGGCTATGGGAACAGTGGGACCCCAAAATCCACCTGCAGGGCATCTCATCAGAGTAAGCCTCTGGCACATCACCTCTAGCCACCTGCAAGGGACTGGAACAGCTTTACTGTCAGACCGAGATCACTGTACATTTGATTACGGTGGAATGAACCACGGTATAATACGATACTTGGTCAGTTGACCTCCTTCCTTCTTGGCCCAACTTAAATTTGCTCTAGGCTCAAATCTTTCTCACTTGTTCCACAACAGAAATTTCTTCTCTGGTTTTTTAAATGTTGTTGGTAGTCTTTTCTTTCTTACTCTTTATTTTTATCTTTATATTATTATTTCTTCTTTCTGTTTCATCTTGTTTTTGTTTTTTAGTGTTTCTGTTAGATTTCTCGGTTTATGAAGCACAGGAGTAGATACATAAAGACAAAAACTGATGGCAGTGGTTTATTGGGGACCTGAGTCGAAGATGAGGAGAGTGAGGGGAACTGGGGAGCAAATGAAGTCAATGCAGGAGTGGGTAGGGAGAACTAGACTGATTGTAATGATGTATATACATCTCTTTATTTAAAGCGACTTAATTATGGTAGTGTCTGATGTGTGAATTTTATATCAAGGAAACTATTCTTAAAAAAATAAAGAAAGAAACCAAAGTTGACCAATACTTACCATGCGTGAAGGAGGAAGAGTTTTTTCTTAGGGGACATTGAGTGTGTTAACGGTGATGAGACAATTTGGAAAATGGTATCAATAATTGTTGCCCAACAAGAAGAGTATAATTAATGGCACTGAATTATACACGTAGATGTTGTTGAATTGGAGAGTGTTTTGGTGTATATATATTTTTGCTACAATTTTTTAAATGTATACTAATAAGAATGAGTACAAGGAAGAAGAAAATGTTCTAAAATTGAGTGTGGTGAATGACTGTACAGCTCTTCTTGATATAATTGAAACATTGAATTGTGATATGTGGATGAAGTGTCAATAAATGTATTTAATAGAAGCAAGATGGATTCTGAAAAATATGTAGGATTAGCTCTTTTTAATCAATCCTCAACAATAGGAACATTTCCTTATACAGCAGAGAAATTGGTGGCTTCTGAAAAGTTGCTAACATCCCTGGTGTTAGTCCTATTGGCTGCCATTGAAGCAGAAGAGGACACCAGGCTTTGGGCCTCCAAGTCACTGCTCCACAAGTATGCTGTGGAGAGGTAAGATCTGACCTAATAATCCTACATCTATAATGTTGACTTCAAGTACTACATTGAATGTAGCATTATCTGACAATGTCTTCCCACCGGTGACTTTGACATTGTCTCTGAAATGTTCATTGTCAAATGGGACCAGATTACCCCTGCTAGCAGTGTCTCCCACACAGTGATCCTGTCCCCTATCAATGCTGACTACTTCAACTTCACCCCAGCAATTATTATATACCTGGTCCAAGAGCATGGACCTAATGTGATTTGCTTTACCCATGCACCCAGAGCAGGAGGAATACTGTTTCAGCAGGAGTTTAGTTGGAGATTCTCACCCAACTTTCTAAACTGTGAAACCTTTGGAATCATGTCCCTTCCCTCTATCATCACCCCACTGCTGTGATACTTCAAAAAGAGGAAATATGACACTCCTAAGGCCAAGAATGGAAGAGGGTTCCAATTCAAGTGCTTTCAAGACTTTAAAGAGTATCTCAAGTGCAGTCTCTTCTCCCGTAGCCCTTCACTCCTTCTCACGGAAACTGCTCTGCTCTCAACCAGAGTGAAGGAATGTGCCCAGAAGTCTGAGAGCCTCCACAGTTCCATCCTGAAGTCATACAAACAGGAATGTCTTTCTCAACAGCCTTGAGCCTAGAGAGCCCATTGGTGCCCAACTGAGGGTATACTGCTGACGATGTGAACTCAGAGAATCCAGGAGGGAGCACTTCAGAGACGGCTGACACCACCGCAACCCCTACTCAGAGGATCAAAGGCATAAATCTGACTTGAACAGTTAAAACTTTGTCAATTGATGCATGCTGGACCTGATCTGGTTTTCAACATTTTCTGCATTCTGTTTTGCCTGCATTTTTTTTTAAAAATATAAAACAAGGCTATAGTGTTGCCTTATGTCAGGTTAAAATTAAAAAGGCTAGAACAGGTGCACCATCAATAACGACTAAAAATTTCTAGCACATTATTATAAACAGTGCTCATATACGGTCTGCTATATTTTTGTCACCAACATGTTTTCTAGACTAGGGCTGCTTTCTTGGCAACACACCCCTAGAATACATACTGCTTTTGCATACTATCCTTAAGCAAAATTTAAAAGCTTAAAGGATTTCACCTCAATATCACCATTAAAAAGTGTCATGTGAAGGGTACCCTAAAGATATAAAGTTCCAACAGACTAATCAATTTGTCCTTCAGGATTTTTCTGTAAATTTCAAATAAAACATTTCTGATAAAACTAGCGTGGTTTTTACTACATAGTTTTCAGTTTGAAATACTTTCTACAGTTTTCTCTATGGAACAGGAACAAAAATATCGTAAATAATATATATTCATGTTTAAGTTACTCTTAAGCTAAAGGTAAGTATGCATTGCCACCAGATATTGAAAAGAAAAACAAAACACATACCAGAGTTTTGTCCACAACAATGTGCATTTCTAGATAAAGAGGATATGTGTTTGGAGCAGTTGAATCTGTCTAGGAAAAAAGAAAATTAATTTAAAGTCTTGAAATTTTTTATAATGTTTCATTCTGAACTCTTGATTAAAGCTGTAACCATGAAATGTACAAAATGTTACACTTTTGTGTTTGAAAATCAGTAATACCAATGTATTTTTGGTATGACTTAATTGAGAAGGTGCACTCCACCCATATCTTTCTACAGATGCAGCCAAGTTGACACAAAACCTAACTCTCACAAATCCCACATGGCACACAGAACTTCTCCCTTAGACTTTTCTAGGCTGTAGTCTTTACAAGAGCATATCATCAGGTTTTTCTTTCACAGACGTATGAGTAAGTTCAAAATGACAACCTCAGCTAACATGCAAGCACTGAACTCTCATACCATGAAGAATCTTTTGGCTTAATAGTCACATGCAAACCATTTGCACCATCAACGCCCTATCTGCAACATAAAATATCAAAACCAAACTAGTTGCTCTTCAGTTGTTTCTGATATGATATCATGTATATCAGAGTACACTGTAGTTCATAGGGTTTTCAATAGCTGGGTTTTTTTTTGCAAGTAGGCTTCCAATACAGTTCAATAGAAGCATGAATAGTAGCATACTAACACTTCAAAAGAAGGACAGAGCATTTCATACTATTTTCTGTAAAATAGAGGGTTGGTGGAAATGAGGGAAGCCCTCAGTGAGATAGACTGACACAATAGCCACAACAATGGGCTCAAGTATGCTAGAAATCATGGATGTGGCACAGGACCAGGCAATATTTTGCTCTGTTACACATACAGATGCCATGAATTGGAGCTGAATTGACAACAACTAACAAAGCTACCACAATCAAAAGAGTGTTTTACTGGCTGAATAATAGACATATGGTCCAATTAAATAGAACTGAGAATCCAAAAATAATCTTATATATCTGTGACTAAATGATCCTCAACAAGGGTGTTAAGTCCTGTTGCCCACAACAATATGCATTTACACATAAAAAGAAACATACTTTCAGAGCACCTGAATCTGTCTAAAAAAAAGAATTTAAAGCCTTGAAATTTTTCATGTTTTATTTTGAACTCTTGATTATAGCTGTAACCACAGACTTTACATGATATGTTATTACATTTTGTGTTTGAAAATCAGATAATACCAATGTATTACAGAGGGAAAACTCACAGTGCTAGAATAATTAGACTTCATAGTACTGGTATAAGGGTGAAAGACTGAAAATGGACCCATACCTCATACCATCTACAAAAATTAACTGAAACAGACCAAAAGCCTAAATATGAGGAAGGTTCAAAAATACACGGGAAATTTTCATCATCTTTTAAATAACTCCACTTTTCCCACAAACATTTCGAGCCCCCCTTGTATGAGAACTAGAACCATAAAACTCCTAGAAGAAAACATAAGGATCAATCGTCACAGCCTTGGATTTGGAAATTGTGTCTTAGATATGGCACGTAGAGTTCGAGCAGGAAAAGAAAAAGACTAGATAAGTGGTACATCACCAAAGTGGTAAATGTTGTACACCAAAAGACATTTTCAAGTCAACCAAAGGACAACGCGAGAGAACATATTTGCAAATCATATCTGATAAGGGTTTGATATCCAGAATATATAAAGAACTCCTACAACATAACAAAAAGACAAATAATCCAATAAAAATAAAAAGATAAGCAACAGACTGGCATAGACTTTATTCAAAGATGATAGGCAACATTATTATTCATTATATAAATGCAAACCAAACCCACAATGAGACACCACATAGTAGGGTAATTATTAAAAAGCAAGTAAAGTAGCAAATGTTGGCAAAGACATAGGGAATTTGAACTCTGGTGCATTAGTGATAGGAACGCAAAATGGCATAGTCTCTGTGGGAAACAGTTTGGAAGTTCTACAAAAAGTTAAGCAAAGAAATATCATATGGTAATTCCACCACTCACTATATAGCCAAAAGAAATGAACACAGAGGCTCAAAGACATATGTGTGCACCAATGTTTATAGCAATATTATTCACAATAACCATTTTCCACAATAGTCAAAAGGTGAAAACTAAACTGTATTAGTCAACAAATAAATGAGCAAACAAATGTAAAATAGACAATAATTCAGTCATAAAAAAAGAATGGAGTTCTGATACATGAATTAAACTTTAAAGCATTATGCTCAGTGAAATAAGCCAGACAACCAAAGGACAAATGTTGTAGTGCTTCATTTATATCGGTAAATACATAGAAAGAAAAGTATATGAGAGGTTACCAGGGACCCAGAGAGGAGGAAATAGAGAGCTACTGCTTAATAAGTACAGAATTGGTTTGGGGTGTGGAAAGTTTTAAGAATAGATAGTGATGATGGTTGCACAAAATATTGAATGTAATTACCACTAAAGTGCACACTTAAAAATGGTTACACTGGCAAAAATAATATGTTGTGTATACCTTACCATAGTAAAATAAAAATTAAATACTAAAGGAGAGTAGATGATAGCTTGTTACAAGAAAAAAAGAAAATCGCTAGGTTAATAAATGGTGATGAAGGTCACAAGAAAAGAATATAATATTTGCTGATTAAGCTTATTTTCTTTTCTTGATTTATTGTGCTAAATATATAATAAAAATATGCCATCTCAATACTTTTTATATGTATAACTCAGTGACACTATATTTTTGATGTTGTGCAACTATTCTCACAATTCTTTTCTAAACAATTCCACCACCATTAATATAAACTTAATGTTTCTTTTTTTTTTTAATTATACTTTTTTTTAATCATTTTATTAGGGGCTCATACAGCTCTCATCACAATCCATACATACATCACTTGTGTAAAGCGCATTTGTACATTCATTGCCCTCATCATTCTCAAAACATTTCCTCTCCACCCAAGCCCCCGGCATTAGGTCCTCATTTTCCCCTCCCTCCCCGCTCCTCCCTCCCTCACAAGGCCTTGATAATTTATAAATTGTTATTTTGTCAAATCTTGCCCTGTCCGACATCTCCCTTCACCCATTTTTCGGTTGTCCGTTCCCCCAGGAGGAGGTCACGTCTAGTTACTTGTAATTGGTTCCCTCTTTCCAACCCACTCTCCCTCTACCCTCCCTGTATCGCCACTCACACCACTGGTCCTGAAGGGATCATCCGCCCTGGATTCCCTGGATTTCCAGTTCCTATCTGTATCAGTGTACATCCTCTGGTCTAGGCAGACTTGCAAGGTAGAATTTGTTTCATGATAGTGGGAGCGGGGAGGAAACATTTAGGAACTAGAGGAAAGTTGTATTTTTCATCGTTGCTACATCGCACGGTGACTGGCATTAGTAGGCCACTGGAGATCCCCTTGCAAACTTAATGTTTCTAAGAAAAACTTCCACTTCCCCTATCCCTATGACCCTTGGTAGCCACTAATAATCTTTGGTATATACAGTGAACCCTCGTTTATCGCGGTTAATCTGTTCTAGACCCTACCGTGATAAATGAAATTCCGCGAAGTAGGATTCCTTATTTGTAAATCAAATATTTTCGTAGTTAGAGCATAGAGGACATGAAAAAACACCCTTTAGTCACCATTACACTTGTATTACCCAATTTATTAAACGAAAAAGGGAAAATACAATAAAACATTTTGGACGTTACAATTATCATTTATTATTTATTATATTATTTATGGCATCAAGCGTGTACAGTATGAGCCAATCAGTGGCAGTAATGACAGAGCATGCGCTGTTACGCAAAAACCGCGATAGTGTAAAGCCGCGGAAGTCGAAGCGCGAAGTGGCGAGGGTTCACTGTATATATTTCATACGAATGACATCATACAATATTTGTTCTTTTCCAACTGAGCATTTTACTCAGCATAATTTCTCAAGGTCCATCCATGTAGTGGCATGCACCAGAACTTCAATTATCTCTATAGCTATTGTATGTGTATGTATCACATGCATACATACTTCACCACTTGATGAACATTCAGGTTGTTTCTGCATTGGCTCTTATGGAAAGTACTACAATAAACATTGGTGTACAGATTTCAGTCTGTGTCCCTGCCTTACTTCTTCCTGATATATATCCAGGATTGGGTTTGATGGGTCATATGCTAGCGCTATGTACAATCTCTTGAGGAACAATTAAGCTGTGTTCTTCATTTTACATCCTCACCAGCAATAGATGAGTTTCTTAGTTCATTTTAAAATTAAATTTAGTACAAGCAATAACTGCCTTGAAAATAGTAATAAAATATACATGACTCACTTTTTTGTTTAGAAAGTTATTCTGGTCCTTTGGTTGTGTTTCTAAGCTTCTGCTACTTTCAGTAAAAATTGGAAATTCATTTATTTCATTCTTATATTTATAAAGAAGATGCTGAAATTCAACTGCCAGTTCCAGAGGCTCAATTCCATAGGAAACATTTTCAAATTGCAATATTCCTCTGTAAGATTAAGCATAAAAATGTATGTGCTTTTAATCACATCTATAATATTAGGAAATTGACAGTATCTAATAGAGTAATAAAGATACAACCCCTTTTGAACTTGGTATCTTGATCCAAACTCTTTATATTTTGAGATGGTTTTGAAGAGACAAAAGCTCTTCAGATCCATAAAATCAAACATTTCGTTCTTTTCTACTTTAGTCATCAGAATCACCCACTCAATCACTAGGCATACTAGCAAAACAACCAACTCACTGCCATGGAGTCAAGTATGGCTTGTCAGCACTACAGGGATCAAGTAATTCTCCCGTTTTCAAAAATCAGTACTCAAACAACCAGAATGCCCATCTGTGGACGAATGGATAAATACACTCTGGTACATATATAGGAATACCATGCATCCCTAAAAAACAATGGTAAAACTGTCAAACAGCTCATAGCATGGACAAATTTGGAAAATATTTATGCTCAGTGAAGTTAGTCCATCCTATAAAGACAAATGCTGTCTGAGACCACTATTATAAAAGAAAAAAATGAAGATAAATTGTTTCAAACTAAATGAAACAGAGACTTTGATGGTTATAGGAAGGTTGGGGTGAGGTGGGTGTGTATAGGAAGGAATATGAATGGGGGAAGGGGGAGATAAGACACACATGGACACACAGAGATTTAAAAACAAAAAGAATGCCACGCATGCCAAATGGCCCCCTTCTGTGCAACTATGCTTAATAGGTAAACATTGGGAATGATCTAAAATCTCATTATGAATTTGTGTTCTGAGACGCTATTTTTCATTAAAAATTAAAAGGACAGCTTTTAATGGGTAAGGAGTGCTTTTAAAAAGTCAGCACTCGAGGAGTCTGGGAGAAGATGGTGCCCAAGTAAGCAGTCCATACTGCAAGCTCTGTGGTGAACCGTGAGCCAAGTAGCCAGGAGGATGAGTGGGGGGATTCTGATAAGTAAAAAGACTCCCAAGACAACCCAGAGTGCTTCCTATGTCCGGGAAATGACCCTCCCACACATCTGCCTTGCTCCAAAGTCCCAGAGAACTATGAGCTGATCCCTCGGATTTCCTGGTCCTGGTCAGCAGTGCTGCTTCTGCACACCATCATGGCCAGCACCCACTAAATGCTCGCTCACTCCTACTCTCCAGTTGGGTTACCATACCAGGAGCTGGGTGGCAACCCTGCTGAGACCCCCACATCTGCAGCTGGACCTCCACACAACAGCTCTCCACCTGTAGCACTTCGCTAGGGGACATATTCCTTTTTCCCACAATTCCCCCCTCCCACCACCCACAACAGTAACAGCCTGTCTCACACCTGCACATGGCAGCAAAAGTTGCCCTCACTGGTGCCTGGCATCTCCACCCTGTGAAGACTTTCCTCCAGCACCTGCACCAGCGAGGGTGGGGTTGTTCCCACCTTCACTCAGCACCCCCTACCATGATAGCAAGCACCCACACACACACATACTATTGTCTTTTATTAGATGCCTTTAAAAATATAATTAAAAAGACAGCAAATCGTGGTCTGAAAACCCAGAGCAACTTGGCTCAGGAGCATACATACAGTCACCAGTCTCAATTCAGTTGCTGAGGTCCCTCACGGCTGTTGGCCATTGAGTCACTGTGGAACACTGCCTACACAGCAGTCCAACCCACCACCATAGTAGGCCACAGACAGCCCTTGAAAACATCCTTACCAGCCACACAGAGAAAGATGTTAGGGCCCCTCGGTCTCCCAGAATCATGGCACCCACCTCTATGAAATTGTCACATAAACAGTACATAGCACAACACTCTCAACAAAAAACTAGAAAGACAAAACACAACAGCAGAACCAATGATGCTCATAGAAGAATTAGACATGGATCTGCAGAAGGCTGTTAGGAGTAATACAGAAGATGAGGGAAGCAACGCAGAATAAGGATGCAATTGGAGAGGAGATGAAGTCCACAATAGAGGGGACGAAGTCCAAGCACCAAAGGGAAATACAGGAGCTAATGGATGAAGTAACAGAGACTACACACAAGATCACAGATCTCATGAATAAACTAGAGGAGGCAGAGAACTGTACCAGTGATCTCGAAGACAATCAGGCAGCATTCAGCAAACAAAAACAGTCAAACAAAATAAAAGATAATAAAATAGGTGGGGGAAATGACAGATGCTATGAAAGAGGAACAACATTTGATAAATAAGTCTACTAGATCAAGACAAAACAAAGAAGTTGACAGCTAAATTATCAAGGGAATTTCTGTAAGCAGACTTTCACACCTTAATGAATGAGAATCAGACAGTCATACAGGAAGCAGAAAAGACACCAAATAGACTAAACCCCAGGAAGAACTCGTGAAGGCATATCATAGTTAAATTACCCAACTTCAAGGGGAAAAAAGAGAAAATCTTAAGAGCAGCAAGAGAAAGGAAGACAGTCACATACAGGGTGCTCAGGTAAGAATATGGTCACCTATCAGTAGAAACCATGAAGGGGGGAGAGAGTAGAATAACATCTTCCAAAAGCTGAAATAAGAAAAGACCTGCCCAAGAATCCTCTGTACTGCCACATTATCTATTAAGATAGTAGGAGAGATAAAGGTCTTCTAGGACAAGGAAAAAATTCTAAGAATGTGCCATAAGACACCCAACCCTGTGGAAGACCCTCGCCAACTCACTATGGTCAGAAGACCAACATCCACCAAGCACAAGCAGGAGACCACCATATAGCCCAACTCCACCCAGAAGCCAGCGTACCAATGACAATTACCAAAATAACATGGCCTCAGAGGAAAATGTAGGCAAGAATGAAGCCTCACACACAAACCCAGCACCCTGACATGAAGGGACATAGGAAAACACCCAAAGCAAAAGGCACAAGATGACACCAATGAATCTACACATAATGATAATAACTCGGAATGTCAACGGTCTCAATTCATACATTTTAAAAGAATAAGGCTAGCAGACTAGCTTAGAAAATATAACCCCTCAATCTGTTGCCTGCAAGAAACATATCTTAAGCTCACAGACAAAAATAGACTAAGAATAAAAGGCTGGTGGAAAGTATATCAGGCACATAGCAATTTTTAAAAAGCAGTGGTTGCAATCCTAATCTCTGACAATTGACGTCAAGGTTCAAACCATACAAAGAGACACGAAGGGGGACTTTCAGCAAGAAGGCGACTGAGTAACACATACAAGAGGGACTCCGGAGAAATCAGCACAGGAAAGTCACTGTGAGGGAAATTCTACACTGCCAAGTTGCAGGAGGAACATCATAAAAATAAGTAGGCACAGATCCACTAGGCTTTGAGCATTGGGGGCTTTTGGCTTTCCGCAGTGGAGGCCAGCAGGGGCTTAACCTTAGCCCTGCCACTGTCTGGGCCAGAGCCAGGAGCCTTTGCAGCCAGGCCCAAGGACTTTATCTCAACACAGCCACAGCTTGCCGCCCCTCCTGGGGTCAGGGTTTAACCTCCATCCTCACAGTCAGGCAATTGTGGATCATCTATATTCCTACCTTTGTTTCCGTCTCTACTCTCTTTCTCCCCACAGTCTCAGCAGGCTCAGGGTTTTTTTTCTTTTGTTTTATTTTTCTCTTCCATTTTCTCTTACACGCTACTGTTGACCTCCAGGCCACTCCCTTTAGCCTAGGGGAATTTACACCTGCCCTCCACCCAGCTGGGGGAGCTCCATGCTCTGCAGCAAAACCAGAGCCTGGAGAAAGCCCGCCCACCTTATTCTGGGGGAAATCCAAACCACCTTCCTCTAGGGGAAATCCCACCCACCCTCCAGGGGAAATCCGGTGGGGAAAATCCCAGCCACCTTCCTCTGAGGGAAATTCTGCCTATCTGCCCTCTGCAGCACTTAACATGTGCCTGGGAAAATCCTGCCCACCTTCTTCTGGGGGAAATTCTGCCTGTGTGGCTGGGGGAGCTGCTACCCATTAATTGTGGTCCCATGTGACTGAGGGAACCTCCTCCAACCTGCCATAGTGCCTCACACAGCCTGAGGTAGCTCCGCCAACACTCTCCAGAGCTCCATGCTGCTGTGGGAACCTCTGCCTCACATGCACAGTGCTCCAGCTGACTAGGACAATTCCACCCACTATTTGCAGTGCTCTACACCAAAGTGGGCAGGCCCACCTGTCTTATGTGGCACACCTTTGCAGCAGGCACCCCTACACACCCACTGCAGCATCCCAATCTGCCATGGTCCACATCATCACGGCTTCTTGTGAGATCACCCAGTGCATCACCAACCTCGTGGGTCCACAACCACTCAACCAGTGTACGCTGAGAGGACCATACAACTTGCCCTCCAAATAACAGAATACTGGTTGACTAGGGAAAGAGTAAATCCACAGGAGGATACAGCAGTAGGCCAATTCCACAGTGCAATTAGCTGCAGGCAGTTCAAAGAAGCATTCCTACAAGTCTCCCAGAGAAAGCCCAGTACTCTACAACTCTCAGAAAATGGCACCAGGCTCCTCTAAAACAATGCAACTCAAACAGCAAACAGTACCAAAGACCTCAATGGAGAGACAGGAGAAACAAAAGGCAATGTTAGAAGATGTTCTGAACCTATCAACGTGCATAGAAGAAATTTTCAGAATGATGCTTTGGGTCATACAGGATATGAGGGAAACAATACAGAAAAGGGATGAAATGATAGAGGAGATAAAGGGCACGCACCAAAGGGAAATACAAGAGCTTAGGGATGAGAGAACAAAAAGCAGTAGCACTTTATAAGTTTAATGCTATCCCGATTCAAATACCAACAACCTTCTTCAAAGAATTGGTAAAATGTCTTATGTAGAGGGAAGCCCATAATTAGCAGAAAACTCCTCAAGAAGAATGACAAAGTCAGAGGGCTTGCTTTTCACAACGTTAACACCTACTACACGGCCACAGTGGTCAAACAGTGTGGTACTGGCATAATGGGAGGTACTCAGACCAATGGAAAAGAACAGAAAACCCAGAAACAAAACTATCAGCAT